TGCGGGGTCTCGCTGCTCTTGGTCTGGCTGCTCCCCTTTGGCCTTCCTGGCATGGTTAGACCTTGTGGAACGAAGTTCCAGCCAGTGTAGCCCGCGGGATCATTGCAACACTCAAGCCCGACCACCACGTCAAGGTGGCAGCTTTAGGTCGGCAGCAGTTTTATGAGTAGTGTATTGCGAATATACATGCATCGCGATATATCAAAGGTCGTAGCAACTGAAACATGAGGAGGCCTGGTGCAGCGCATTCAGTTGCCTGGAAACATCACAAACGAGAGATTCAGCTGGATTCCAGGTAAGTCTCTCGCAAAACCGAAATTACTTGCAAATGAGTGTATTTCGCTGATTAGAACTCGCTTATAATGACTTCAGTGGAAGTTTCAAACGCAAAACCCGCCACTTTCTAACCTGGGGACGGAATTTTAGTGCAAAAAACACATCCCTAATCGTTATGCTCCACTGTTGCAAGTCTACGTGAGAAGATCTCGGGACTGTTACGTTGTCTGATAGGAGAACGGCTAAGTGAACGAAGCTCCTGTGACAAGTGACAGCAGTAGGACGACGATTGCCAGTCGTAATCGAGGGGAACACGGCTGCGTGTACCACTGTGAGGAAACGGGGAACAGGTCGCCGGAGTTCCAGCTAGATTTGGAAATGGACAAGCAGTGGACCACACCATAGAATTCTATCTTCTACTGACGGAAAGTGCACTTCGGCATATAACTTATCCGACGTTTTAAACGGAGTTTTGTTGTCTTAATCTTTTTTGTAAAGCTTCTGGTGACAATAACAGCGAGCTCGACCGGGGCTTTCAAACTGATCGTTGTGGACAGATCACTTCCGCTGTATGAGGTCTGGTTGGGAAACTTGGTGGCGTAAAGCCGTACGAAAACTGAAAGTGAAGGTCGTCTCGCTAACTGAATTACATGTGGGCCCCAGGATATATGCAAAACAGTATGTAAGGGTTCTCAGAAAATATTGTATCGCTATCCTAGCAGTATACAAAAGGGAGATTGTTTGAATAGAAGTACCAATGCTAACGGTGGAATTTCGGAAGTGTTAGTCTATGCAACTTATCGGTTGCCGGCGGTCTCTTCGTTGAGTTCAGATGTCCCCCATAGATTGTTGAGAAAAGTATTGATTGCGTTATTTTAGGATACAACTGGCTTAGGAATTCACCCGGCAGGCGTAGTTCCTAGATTTCAGCGGGCTCCTTTTCTATTAGTGCGGTTTTTCTGCTTGAGCACTGAAGACGTAAAAACATTGAGCTCTGAACTAGCTCAGCAAACTCAAGGAACAGTGAGACTTACTGCAGTTGTTCGAATGGATTCAACTGGGTCGACTCATTCTCGTCGATAGAAGTGTTTTGTGGTGTCGGGTTGCTTTCTGCCGCTAGCTGTAGTCCTGATGATGGGGAACACAGTGGGTTGTCAAGCGGCCATGGTGAAAGCGTACTTCGAATTTTTGACAGCTGCGCAAGATGTACGGTAGTACTATCCACAAATGGCGCATCCACATCATTCTGGATCTGCTGATTTATGAACGTAAGAGAAAAGCAGGTAGATGGGCAACGCCTTCCGGTGTTACGAGGCAGTATTCATGGGTTTGGATAGCACACTGTTTGGGGTGCGAAGTCGTTGGCCAGAAAGTCCATGGTCCGAATTCAACCCTGGCTTACTGATGGCTGAGCCGGTTGCGTGACAACTATGATCCGAAAGGGCGCCACAGCTAAACGGTTGTGTGCCTATTGTATTGGTATTGCGCAAACACGCTTGAGACAGTATCGGTCGTATGGAAGAGATTGTTGAGACTACATTCTAAGGCTGGTCATATCTTGCCAGATATCGTGCGTATAGGCCATTCGGTAGATGACGAGAAAATGTGTAATCACAGTGTGATTGTAGTGGCACTTCAGAGCATAATATGACACGATGGTGGAAGATCGATATAAAATAGTTCCATTCTAACCAAAACATGGATGGATGACGACTGACACTAGGAATCGTCAGTATCAATTCAAGTAAACAGTTTACTGCCGCCATCCATTCGATAAAAAACTCCTTTACAGGAGGCATCTTAATACTAATGCTCTTTGTCATTTACCCAGACGTACAGGTTTATTATTTTCCAGGGACCCAGATAATCACGGCTGATGATAACCATTCTGGTAGTTCATTGGTATCTATCTCACGGATACATATTCAGAGTGTTCAGCATAAAGAAAGACTTTATGATATCCTGATAAAACCGTCTTAATCGATTTGAGTCACACCAATTTTCATTAACCTCAAACGCGCTTAACTGTAATCGCCCTTCCCAGGAGCGGATAATCCCGTCGTTGATGTACTTTGCCATTCCTCGGAATCATTTCTTCCTACGACAGTTCGAAAGATAAGAGTATATTGGTACGCCGTGCAAATCCTCCGTCTGAAACAGAATGACATGCTCACATTCGACTATACCGGACAAAACGGTCCAAGGGTGATAGAGTTTTTGGGTATGAAAGCGAACTCATGTGGATCTCTGTCAACCTTGGGCCGTTTAAAATCGTTCTCTGGGCGGATAATGGTCTCAGTCCTTTCATTCTGGTGATGTTTTGGGCAAACCCGAAGACATTCTATCTTCAGGTTTATATTCTTTGGTACTATGTCTTATTGGCAAACTTGAAGTAATGCACTTCAGAAAGCACTGCTGGAACACCTCAAAATACGAAAAAAATATGGGACCTAAGATACTAGTCCCACAAACTGGTTCTTTAGCTCAGATCGGTTACCTCGAACTGCACGTTGAAGATTCGTTGTACTAGTGCCAAACTCCCTGAGCCCTGGTATTCGAAATCGCCACCGACAGACAATACTTATGGAACATTTGAACAGATAATTTCACACTTATTTTATTTTTGAAGATGAACCGTTTTATTTACGTCTCAGGATCCATTTTTCCACGCTTGATAATCGGCAGTGCTGTTTGCAGCCTAGGGGATTAACTAGTTTCTTGGGAGCTTGATATGAGTGGTGTCTAAAGTGTGACTCGGCTTTGACTTGACTTTGTGCCTCTGACACTTACGCAGCCAAGCATAGTCAGCCGGGCAGCAGGGGTAATGTGAGGAAGTGTCGACCGGGATCACCGTTGGGCCCATATAAGCTAAATCCCTTAAAACTGGATTCATAGGATCACAGCGATTCTGGGAAAGCATTAACGTGACTCAGAAACATAAACCTGATTCTAACAAACTCAGCAGTAGCCACATGTTGAGTAAAAGCTCCCGGTGGATTAACAAACTAATCCGCATTCGCAGTATGTAGAATATGCCGGAAGTTTAAACTAACCTGCTCCTTCAGCAAATCCAACGATTCCGTGTGTTGGATGTCCGGACAGTCATGATCTGATTCTAATCTAGGTAGAAGTGGTTTCACTCCAAGCAAAATCTGGCCACGTTCAGTACCTGTTTCGTCCATCACGTGGTACCATCCATATACCGCGTCCAACCGGCTACTGCTTCCAGGTTCATGGTACAGTCCTCTCGGAGTGGTCGTCGGAATAATGCCAGACAAACAGGTAAGGTCCACCGAAGCAATGCCAATCAGTTCTGGCGTGTTAGATGGCGCTGTTGTCCAATCATTTGCAGTGGAGACTGTGTTCGTGCCATCACAGTTCTCTTTTTGAAACCAAACATGAAACACTAGCTTCTGCGATGGGAAAGCGTCGTTCAGAAACAAAGGGACAGATAAGGATAGATAACATAAACAATCAATGTGATTTTGCCTTCCTTGTCAAATCTCATTACAACTGAGTACTTAAAATGCAAGCCAGTCAACTCTGGATCCGACCCAGCTGCCAAACTGGTCATTCACAGTTGCGATGACGCTTAAACAGACAGAAGAACCTGTTTTTTTAATATCAGCCGAAACATCCAATCTCATCGTGGGAAATGAGTTACCAAGGCGCAATTTGCAGTTGGCTGAAACAAACATAAATAAAAAAATACCCAAATTTATGGGGTGACAAGCCATAAACAATCACCACTCGAGTAAATCAGAGACTCTGAATGCACAGAATCGCGTGCAAACCTTAGTGAATAGTGTCTCGCGCATGAGCAGACATACAGACGCGTAGGGCAAAATGGTTTGAAATGCAGTCTGTTTCGAGCATGTGCCTGCGAACACACGATGCCGATCGGTAATTCCTTCGCCAAGTCTTGTCTAAGACACTTAGATAAATAGCATGTATCATTTCGTTCACTCCGTTATTGTCATCACAGCTGGAGGTGAATTGATACACAGCGTTTATGGCAGAAAAGTCCCCGCTGATTCTCCAAACGACGTTCTTCAAGTGAAAAACGTACGCACAGTCTCATGACCACATATGTATCAGTTAAGACGTATCACAAGTCTTGGAGCACGAAAGTGGTAATCCGTTTGAAAAGCATCGTTGATAAAGACCGCTTGCTTTGTTCTCTACGCTAGGCAATTCGGTCTCAAACGCTTCATCATCACCTAAGGTGACATCACCAGTGCACTGTAAGCAAAAATATCTGGTTTTCGCAAATACACGAGTTGATATAGGGTGTACTGACCCAGTTGGATCTTGACCGGTCACTGGCTATTTCGTTGGGAGTTCCCACTGGCTTATTTGCGTATTTACCTTCAGCTTATTGGACGTTCGGCTTGATCTCCCCGGTCCTTCCGCTGTGACAAAAATGAACAGTGATCAGTCAAGGTCGATCTGGATGAGTAGACCCTCTATGGATCCGTGCAAGCGCAACAACGATGCAATTCTAACTTCAACGTTTCCACTCGCAACACACTCGATTGATGATGAAACCCTTACAAACTAATCGCCCCGCTCAGCGAACAAGTCGGGGGTCGTCAGTACAACCTGAGCTACCAATATTCGCTTCAATTGCTAGCGCTGATAATATTCGTTTCCTCTGGGCTATGACAACCGTTAACCTTCCAAGCCTTGACGGACCACATGCTCCGTGAATCCCCCCAGATAGCCACTTAATATTACAGTGTTCGTGAGAAATTCTCCCATTTGATTTACACGGTCTTCAGTACAATTTCTTCGTGGCTCGTCAGTAGCATTCCCTACCCCCTCCCTACACCCGACAACTGCATGTTTATGCAACATCTGGGTTTGCGTTACTAACGGCCCTTTAATTTTGATAATCATCAATACCTGAAAAATGGAACAATATTGTTTTTTTACACTTTGTCTCAGCTTTATGTGTAGATGTACCAAACCTGTTCGGTTAAATAGTTGGATGAAATGTTTTAGGATCATTAATAGACAAAACATTGTTCAACAAACGCTTACAAAGAGTAGCTTGAGCAATACTGAATAGTTGCCCAAAAAGACACAAACGTCTGACAGTTGCTCTGTTTTCGCCATTACCATTCACTGAGTCGAGGAGTGATTTTTGCATTGATAAATAAGTACGATGAAATACGCATCAACAGCTCTCCAATCCAAGTACAGCAAATTTCTTGAAATAAGTGAGTCGGGCTCGGGCACCTTCGGTAAATAATAGTACCCGAGATACATTAAGGATGAAGTGGGTAGAAAGTGACGGAGGCGAGTAACCAAAGTCTATCCACACTAATCAGTTACTCGCTAACTGAATAATAATCAAATGACTTAAGCATTAGTCCCTCGCTCATGGCATTCTAGATTGTCTCTTAACATAAGGCTAACGCCGGGATGTGAATTTGAACAGAAATATCTACGACGAATTCCTCGGGAACCAAATGTAGACAACACATAAGGGGTTAATATACTAGGCGAGCAGCTACTAGCCTACATCTGGTAACCAGTTAGTAACCAGGGTCTTGGGTACGAGTCTTCGAGGACAATTTTACCTTGTCTGACAACGTCCGTCTTGTTTCTGAAACAGAATAAAAAAGCTCTTTGAATGTATGTTTGTTTCGCTCACATTAAACTCTGGTCTGTTTAAACTATCTGTTAAGCAAATCCCGTATTTTCTGTCTCACACTTTGCGTTTGAAAAAATTTGCGGACCTAACGCCTTAGGATGCAGTAAAGTGCATACGTGACACTGCTACCACTCACTCGCCGTGTTTGGACCTTTAGCAGCCACGTTGGCAACACCACGAACCTTCGGTAATCCCACGATACACAGGAGTCGAAGGGCACTTTAGCAGTAGCAGCTATTAGTCGAGAGGGAGAGCATGTCTGACTGTGACACAAACGATTCCAAAGTCCATTGTGAGAAGTGAAGTTTCCCGGTTGATCCCCATCCACCGGAAATGTGACAAACACGACACCATTCTTGGGAACATGTTCAACATCCGGAGATTGTTTGCCTGTTCTTTCCATACTGTTTGTTTGAATAACGGGTTGGAAAATAAACAAAACAAAATGAAGAAGATTGATTTCCAGAGAGAAACATGCACCAAACCATAAAAGGTCTTCAAAATAAATTCGAGTTGACCATCTCTTCTGAACTGGTTGGCTTGTGACCGCCGTTGAGTTTCCGACAAAAGTGAATCATTCCTACATGTACTGTAAAAGCATGACCTCCTTATACGCCAAATGTCATTTTGGAATATCGGGTGATTACTACCCTCTGGCCCTACGTTTCACAAAATGGATACCTGATGGACTGAAAGCTACGTGGAGACGCTGTTCTCGTTGACAGAGGGAAATAGTAAACGGGTCTCAGGGAACCAGCTGATTTGAAAGCGGTGTAGATCATGACAGCAATCCAATAACAATGCTAATGTCCCTTCATACAGAATAGTCACAGAAGAGTTCATCATAACATAAGACCTGGAACATGATTGACGTCATGAAGACACTTGAACGAAGGAGACAGTGCGTCTACAACAGGCCTTATGTCAACCGGACGGAAATAGCAATTGGATGGAACAATATTCCGGGTCTAACGCAATTGATTGAAAACAATACCACAAAATTACAACCCGAATCACTCGAAACATGAAAAATGTCAACTCACAGAGCCTTCGGTCTTAAATGAAACGCTCGTTCCACAGTCACTTCAGCCGGAAACGTGGTCTCGGTGTAGGAGTCATCAGGTTTATTTGTACCTTCAACATCGGATTGCAATAAATTGGGTAAAATTCTCCGTTTCATGAATTTGCCGAGATTCCAGCCCAACGCGCCAACACTACTAAATAATGATGCGGGTTGGCGTGTTGGTATCTTACGGGGAAATAAATACAAGCAAAAAATTGGTTATGCTTCACAAGGCAACGGAACAAAAGTTCTGCAATGTTGTGGTTACTGATGAGAATGACTAAGACATAGAGCAACGATATCGTAAGCAAGAAATTGACTTTACAATTTGTTCGCGAAACTGCCTCAGATAAATATTCCTAGCTCGTTTGTTAGAAAAGGTTTTTCACGATAGTTGTGTGGGAGGACATTTAGTCCAAAAATACTCAAACACGAACCAAGCATCTCTTCTCTAATAAACTCACAAAGCAACTGTCTTGGGGATTGGGAAAGTGTGGAATCACTGGCGTTATGCCGGGCAAAGGAATAGTAACCACCTACGATAATCGCCAAGAGATGGATATAGGGAACTCAATTACCATTTTGAACATGATGATGATCGACTTGAAACAAGTTCTCGTCATGTAGGTTGCTTGATTTATTTGTTAGGAGCCTTCTTTGACCTTGTCGCGTCAGACAATTATGGGCCTTCGAAGGTTATGTTTCTCAACCGATCTTTCAAAACCCAGCTAACTGTAGGCCTGCGACGTTCGCTAACAGATGTTGGTACAATGTGTCGGCGCTGAGCCCTCAAAAACACAGACCGGACCTTTACGTGAGAACACTGAAGAGCTTATTTGAAGACAGTTTGTGCCTTGGCAATGCCAGAACACGTGTGATACTCTACACAAAGATCGCGTGGCACAGCAGCATGCCGGTGTCCAATTTTTGTGTCAGAGCCGGTATAGGCTTCTTGTGCAAAACGGTCCAAACTCATTTTCCGGCAAGCAGTAGGGAGCTCCGCGTCCAACATAGGTTTCGATTAGATAAGCTCCTGAATAACTACCAGTGATGAAGCGAATTCCATCTAGCTGGAAATTTCCTTGCTTGGCAAAGCAATTTGAACAACCACTTTGATATATGAGACATTTCATAACCATCCAATTCATTGCGTACAAATTTCCGAGGATTCACTAAAATTTACTGGGAATATGACTGGAAAACCTGAGGTGACTGCAGTTGGTTATGTTGAGGGATTGGATCGGGAAGGAAATACTGGAAGGCACCATCATGATTACTCCATGGCTGTAGTCAGGAACAAAATTACCTGCCATATCTTGCAGTTCAAATTACGGATACACATGGAGAACGAATAACCGTACTTAGAACAATGCTGCTGGATTTACATCGATCAACACCTCATCTTGGACAAATTACACCATCTCAGCTTTGCCCACACTGAAACCAAGTGGAACAGATGAAGATACGCACTGCAACATGTACCTAGATTGACATTATCAGGAAGGTCAGACCCCTGAAAGCAACCACTGAGACTCAGCTCCGCCAGACGTTGACCAGACGGACAACGCCCCCTCAATTTGTTGTGCTTCTCAGTCTTGTATCAAGCACAGGCGGCGCGAGTCAGCGTCGATCAAGGTCAGGCAACAACCCCGCAATGTGCAGCGCGTCGCAGCCTCGTACCAAAGCCAGACCGCGCGTGACAGCATTGGACAAAGTTAGACAGTGTCCATCCAATAAGTAGCTTGAAACCGCTGTACTTTCGCACCCGCACGTGTTCACGCTCACACACTCGCTTGTTCGGAATATAGCTATTGTGTTCCCTTCTGAGTCTTTTTGCTGGCATTAGACAATGGGACGGGTCAGCAGCAGATACCTCAGATTGGCGAATCAGCAGATATGAAATGAGACATAAAATGGGATTTCCGCAACAATATAACCATGGCAACAAACCTAGATAGCCGCAAAATTGCCATAGGGTTTAAGCTGCGAGATGTGAACACTTCAAGTTACTTTCATCAGTCGCAGGCGCGAAACATGCAATCCAAGTTGCGTGCACAAAAGCTATGGATTCAAGAGGCCCGACTAACTCTGGACTAAACAGAAACCACCCCTAGCGCAGAGTGACGTATCATTTGACGTCTTCAGCTCATCATTATGCTCGTTCACTAAAACTCCGAATGTTTTACGCCTGCAGCTGATGAAAGGAATTTAAAATGCCAACATCTCATAACTATTTCCTTTGGTACTTCTGATGGAAGGGATCAAAGAGATCTAGTTTCTAAACTTACATTGGCACGCAACTGGGTCCGAGAACAATGCATCTCCAGCCGAACGGCAACCCAACTTTCATGAAGATCTTCCGAATCAGCACGGTAAAGTGGGAATACGGGGAGTGGTTGTTCGTTTATCTGACCACTGCAAAACCAGGCTAAACCAGATGGGTCGCCCGAAATCGCTGGTGGATTGCAACCATCCGGATCTGGTTCGGCTGACGATGCTGGTACAGAATGATGGAGTAATTTGGACAGCATAATATAGGCGGAGCCCACGTGGCGAGGACTGGGTGGGCTGAAAAACAAGAATTCATAATCCGCTTTAAGTGAAAGTGATCAGGTTTCATCTGAATGTCGGGAGCCTACAGTCGTGCAGTAGTTACACATAGGGTGAGGTACAAACAACATTACTGATACTTGCTTGAATCTACATATTTTGCAAGGCAGTTCCGAACATTTTAATTGGCCGAGTTTTCGGGACATCAACTCAAAATTGTTACAGAATAAGCAGTAAAACGACGGACTGAACTCACTCAAAAGGTTTTGCAACGAACGAATCTTGCCTATTGGACGCGATTCTCAGCTGCTCCATTCTCATTGATTCACCGTCCCCATCGGAACTGGTCCAGATCACCCAAACTTGGAGTTCCAAATCTGTTTCCATTAGATAGTCATACAAGTCTTCACTGATTGGAAAATTGCAATCTTTCGTTTCATTGAGCTGAAAAACAAACACTTCGGTAGCTGACGTTTGTACCACAGCTCAACTTATTTGAGGGTGAATGTGAAGTGGAAGAAACGGCCTCCGGCTTGGTTGACGCTGGATACCTATTAAACTAGTTTGTCTCCGCAAAAGTGACCATTCTGGAATTCCCACAGCAGTTGTACAGGGAACAAATAGTGATCTAACAGTAGAAGCAGCAGTACGATTTTACTTTCGAAAAATGAGTTGAATTCTATGAAGTGTAGTACCTACACCTACTGGATGAACCGAGTAGTGTCGGTTGTCTTTCGCTTTTATCTTCTAATAGGGATATGCGGGGAATCACATAGTATTTGTGGTATACCTTGATAACACTTCAAGAGTATAACATGGCGGACGATGACTTAATGGAACGTGACTCATTTCGCAGACTTTCGTGAGTCCGTATCTCTTGATGCTGGAGGAACGAATCACAATGGCGAATCACGTGGGTGAATTCGGATTGGGAAAACTATTAAGAAAGAAAGGATACACGTCAATAAGCTTCAAACAATTCATCTCTTTCCAAAAGACTTCACGTTGTGAGCATGCAGACTACGAAAAAGTTAGATTCTTCTTTTGAAATGCTATGGTCTGGCGGAATGTGGAGTCTAGGATGAAATTTCCGGAGATACTTTTAGTGAAAAGTGAAGACAGCAGAATATCATGTTGACACTTGCACTGGAATTTGTAATGAACAAAACAAGACAGGTTCCACTCAAGAAACGGAATACGGACAACAATCTAGCAAGGGTTGTTGGGCATAATGTTTTTAAAGACCACCAGAACCAGTGAGCGAAAACGTTTGGGACCGGATGGTCAATTTGAACGTGTGTTCTGTGAATCCCATGAATCGCGAAGCATAGGACAGAGTCTATTCGCCTTCTCGGCCCTCAACAAGGGCGATCTTTCAGTTATCCATGCGCTCATCGTTGAAATCCCTTATGTGAAATTAGGACACCCTGATGAACTGGACAAGGGATGATCAGCACAGTCCCACAAGCTGGAAGAAACTGCTCACAAAAGCACAATGTACTATTGAATAATGGATTTTCCTTCCTTAATATTTATTCGTTGCCCGTTACGACTCACGAATTTGTGAATTCGGTTACATCTAGACAACAGTTACCCTGTGTGAACTCTAATGATGCGTAAAACTGGACCAATCTACATCGACCTGATTTTTTAGGGCTGTGCTTACGTACCGAAAGGTCTCCACAGCTGAAAACAGGCTGTGGGGTTGTCGACCGGTTATCAGCTGGCCGAATAACGGTATCTGCTTTTGCGTCTGCGTTTAAGGGCGTTTATCGCATAGAGCTACCGTGCGAGTTTTTGTACCGAGACTTGCTTTAACTTGATCTTAACGAGCAGAAACAGGCCTGATTGCTTTTCAAGGCACAAGTTTTAGAAGCTTGTTTTCTCGAATGTCTGCAACGCGATAAAGTCACTCAACTACTCCGCGAGATAGGAACAAAGACCGCAAAGAATCATTACCCTTCGCAACCTAGCCAGTCACTGAATAGGCGTGAGACTACAAGAAGCAGAGCCCGAAAAGACGTCTGTCCTCTTAGAAAACTGCATGTGCGAATTAATTTGGTTTCAGCGGGTCTCAGATCATTTCAGATGGTGTGATGATCACGGTACTTAATGCTGTTGGGGCCGACCAGCGAGGGGGTACAGACAACTAGTTGTATGCGCTGTGAAACTCAAAAGTGAGCCCCGATAAGGGACGCTGACAAACACTGATTGCTGACATATTGGGTAAATGTTTTACGGGGATGCGTTGGCTGCAGGTGGATTTACACAAGCTCTCCAACAGCCCAACTGGGAGGCCTCTTAGCTGAAAAGTGGGATGTCGTACATTCCTGTCCTGCCACAGGCGCTTGTCTTTTTGACTGAATTGTGTGCACCGGTTTTGAATAACAGCTCGATTGCCAGAGAAGCCGCAAACCACCGGATATGCAGCGGCTGCCTGTGGACGAACGCTTACAGCACACTAGTGGACAACTTATGACACCATATCGGAAATGTATCAGTTCGGTAGGTACAACATGACATAACTGTTCTCTGACTACTGAGCACTACGATACTTCACGCAACATTCTATGGTGTGTAACCCCACATGTTGTAATCCACAGGTTCTGTGTCAGGAAGTGATTGCGTCAAGCAAAACAGTCTTTCTGTAGGTTATTGAAGAAGTAAAGATGACGTTTCAACAATCATTAGGTCTCAGTTAGCCGATTTGTGACCGTCGTCTAATGTCAGCTTAATCCGTTTGCCTGAAACATGTTAAAGTGTTTTTTCCCTACGAAAAGAATTTCAGTAGAATCAAAATAAAAAATGGAACAGAATAATGCAAGAAGAAAAACCAGAGCGGTCTCCACATTTTAATATTAAGATTTTCTAGTATTTTGAATGAGATGTCCCGATAAAATTTGTATACCAGTTCCCTGACTAGATCGAAGAAGGACTTAGTACCAAATTAGGGTTGATTAGAGGATGACCGAGCTCTTGAATGACAGCCACTTTCGGATCTCTTAGGACGTCTTAGATTGGCATCAAATAACCCCTAGAGATCTACCGGTACACTTAAATTCCTGTAGTACTTAAGAAAACGACATGTTCTTTTAAAAGATGTCAAGCCGTCTTAATGTACAAAGGTGTCAACGCATCTTGAAGTCTTCTCTACTTACTTGAAGTACGACAGAAGCCCGTTCTTGGTAGCTGACGGGGAGCGGGACTAGCCGAGACGTTTGAATGCCGTTTCTGTAGAAACTAAACCTAATGAAGGCAAATGGTCTGTGACGCTCTGGTGTTGAAAACCAGGATCTAATTTGTTCCGCGTCCCATTGAGATGAGTCTTGGAGCAACAGAAATTCTGATGGCAAGCGAATAGCGTCCAAATTCAGAATGAACTGCTTGTAGTGGCATCCACGCTCATCTAGACAAGAAGGTATACATGGAAAATGTAAGATAGAACGAAAAGAAAAATCAGTTTTATAGACGATGTGGTTGAAACCTTGTGACGCAGCAATAGCGGGATAACTTCAGGTTTCCCGCGCCGAAGTGCAGGTCTAATTTTCACTCGGAGGTGGGAGAAACAAACCCGAACGTTAGAACGCCAGAAGCAAAACGTAAGTAGACCCGCCCAATTAGGTCCTTGTGTTCCCTTTGAACTACTTAGTTATATATGAACTTATTCAATAAACCACCAAAAGACTTACAGGAAACAAAAACCATACCTGAATAAGAAGTGCAACTACATAGGATGGTCAAGTTTCGCCTTATATCAGCTTAATGAGTTTATCCAAGATTGTCGATCGTACACATCAATAAAGTTTATGACCTTTTGTTACACTATACCAACTGAAGGGACCGTACGATCCAAAACGAGAAAGAGAAATGCCGGTCCACGATCGATTTAGATTGTGGAACATTCTTGTGAGCAGTTGTTAGAAAGAGAATCCTGTACGTCCATATGGGTTTCTGTTGTGCTATCGAGGATAAGCGAGACTAACTCCTATAGAGGTCCAAATTAACAACGCTACCGATCGGGTAGCCGTGATTCTGAAAAGGTTTACAGATTCACCTCCAAAAAGGAGTTCGGGGGCTGGTTGCTGCTGGAAAGTTCCGAAATGGAAGAAAATAAAGTGACTGACTTAAATCCACAAGGATAAATCCAAAACTGAAAAGTTGAGTTATTCTCATCATCCATTTTACAGCACCTTACTCCTGAAGAGTGAATCCTGAACCACACGTCAGACAACTAATGGAATAAAAAATTGAATACTAAAAAAGCCATCAACCACCAGTAACTTTCAAAGTGAACGGGCTGCTGACTAGCCCCCATGTAAACATAGCAGCACAACAGGGAGATCACAAATGTACCTGTGTGTTAGGGGGAAAGCATTATGACGTTCTGGAACTGGTGATACGGTCAGTAAAGTCAGTACCATCAAATGTCATCGTTCCCTTGAATAGTGTCGGAGAATCGTATTAACAACCTCAGTAATATCATGCCAAATTCAATTTCCTCGGACATTTGTATCTTTTCGGATTTAAATCTCAGTCTTTCCTAAACTCCCAAAGATCCTGAAAACGGGTCTTCTGTTGGTTTTTCCCGAATTAGACTAGCAATCACTGATCCATTGACGTGCAACAGCGTGACGTTCTTTACAAAAGGTTTCCACTTTTCACTCGACTTTTTACTAGTGCTCATTTCTTACTTTAAGATGGTTAAAAACCAGTGTTCGCTGCCGAGATGTTGCTGTCGACAACGATGCTAATGAAGAAGAGGAGAAGGATGAAGAGACAACCAATTCTAGCACATGCCAGAATGAGTCAGCGAAACAAATAATCTCAACGTTTTGAGTAAGGATGAACGGAGAGGGTATGAAACCATCACTAATATACAAGTCATGCTCGAGTGCTACAGCGTCGACCATCTCGGATATCCTCTCTCCAGTGCCAACAAAATAGCAAACTGACATTTGCTATGTGTTATAGCTGATGGCCATGCTATAGGTGTAACACAATACACATAAAATTGCTGAAAATTTTTTCATATATGTGATATTTGTATGATATTTGAAACATAGGAATGACTGTGCTATTCATAGTTCCGTGGCTATTCACGGTGGATTGTGCGGCCCCATCCAATGATCTAACTATTGAAATGTCAATCTAGCGTATTCTGCTAAGCCGCAGCGCGTAAATTGACCGTTTTAATGTGTAGATTCAAGTAGACGTTTACTCGTCAGCTGAATCTGCTTTGCCGCCAAAAAAGGCCGTTAATTCAAACTTGTCAAATTCTATCATACCCGGTTCCTTCAATGGAAGAATGCATACCCCAGCCACCGCAATTTACCTGCCACAGTGGATCCAAGTTTTCCTCAGCCTCCAGGCATCATCATCGACAGGGAGGGACTTAGTGCTAGGTTAAGACAATCGTTCCGAGGTGTTTACACCTCCAGACATACACTCAGACAATCTGGAGAGAAACTGACAACAAGAACGCCACTGACATCAGTTGGCAGCCATATCTTGTAGTGTCTCCAACCAGGCACAGTGAGGATCACGCGGTCCCCATCCTGGAAGGCGAGTAGCTCCGACAGCACCCAAGCGTTTCGTGATCTCCTTCATACTCCTCTGCCAAGTCAAGGGTTGGCCACCTCTCTGTTTACGCCACTCTGAGTTGGGCATGGAAAACAGCACTCTCTTCGGCAAACGATGGTTCGGCATACGTAACGCCTGTCCCAACCAACGCAGCTTCTGGTGCTGGACACATTCTTCAATGGAAGTACGCGTTACACAACCGAAAACACGCTTTCTAACTTCCTCGTTACGGATTCGCCGACACCAAAACACACGAGCTATGGTTCTGAGACAACGATTGTCGAACATCTGAAGACGTCTCAGTTCCGCTGCTCGAATAAGCCTCCAGGCGTCCAATGTCGAACACAAATGCGATAAATCAGCTGAAAACATGTAGATTAGTTAAAAAGTATTGATCCTTACCGGTGCCATTTTGCCAACGGTCACGTAGTTTCAACTGATGCTTGAGGTTCATGCACAACTCTCGGTTAGGTGAAAACGACTGACTCCAATCTTGAAAACAGCGGTTTTGTTCGGTATCAGCCTTTCCCAATTGACTAAGGTAATCGAGCAACTGAAGCTTTGTTTCTGTGCCACCAGGAAGTTCAGCGCTAACCTCGACTCCACCGACAAAATAACCTCCTCCAAATGAGGGATTTCGATCGCCTGGATTCGATGCGAAGCTGCATTGAGGATACCATTGTGCAGGTATTTTGGCACTCCTCGTCAGAATCAGTCCTGCTAGAGGTATGCGCGTACTGCTGACAAGTTTGTGTCCTGGTCCGGGCCATACTGAACGGTACTTGTCACCAAAGTCTGACAAATCTGGAAGAGTCATTAACATAAAACTGTAGCAAAGGCTCTCACTATGAGAGCAAGAATAAATAACGTTTTCTTATGTACATATTAGGCTATTAGACGTTTTCGTAATTGCTTCTTACCTCCGGAAAGTATGTCAACCAAACAAATTACAAGAGCAGAACTACTTCAAGTCAACTACTTGGAGCAATCCACTCTTCTCGGGCTGTCTGACACACGACTGTGGAGAAACTCAAAACCACCTTGTACCAGAGACCACTTGGAACTGTTCTTCAACTGATCTTACGGCATTATTTGGCAGTATTACCTACCGAAATTTCAGCCAAGGAGTGGCTTCATGCACAGAGCCTGACCGAACAGAAGCATAGTTTATAATAGCAGATATCCAGCTTGTCATTCAGCTGAAGTCGGCCTCATTAGAGAGTGTACAGGGAAGGCTTTTATTTCATACAAATCAGGGACGTGTGATGCTATTCAAAGCGTTTTAAGCACGGCTAAGAAGTAAGCAGCAGAAAAGAGAAACTCTGCACCGTTCCCTGGAGGATCGTCCCACGGCAAACGAAGCCCTAAATTGTGTTCGCAAAATCAAACGCAACGGTTGTACTCAAGCCTACATACGGCAGACAGGAATGGTGGGCACAGGAAAAGAGTAAACCGCCGAGACACAGCTCAATAACAAGAGCTAGTCAAGGATGCAGCAGAAATGGCAGTACGTGCACGGGATACAAAAGAGATTTTAGAAAAAGTTGAATTATCAAGGCACGGACATCTTATCTTGGAGCGACCGAAGGCCAGTGCGGCGGAAATTACAAAATCTCTCACTGTGGAATAGAACCGAAGAGCGTGTAGAGAGAGGTTTTGTATCATGCCACCTGATACGTGGCGTTGCGCGGTTGGTGTTGATGGGGAGTTATCAACTCTAGTGGTTCGCAGCTAAAGTATATAGCCCAAGCAGACCCACATTCACTTTATTTCTACGTCTCCCTAACAAATGTTTCATGTCTAACGACACCCAAGAGGAAGCGACAGTTCACGTGTTGAAAAGTTTATTGAAGTTGATAACCAATCATGCTCCAACTCATCAGTAGTGAGGTACAGGTCCCTCATTATCCAAAAAAAAATTTTGATGAACCTACAACTCCGATTTAGAGTATTAGTCAGAAGGGCTCGTGTTGGCTAATCCACTGTCCACTTTAAAACATAACCAATCTGGTTACGCATTCAACTGAATTAATGAAGATTTTGTGTCAAAAACGAAAATTGACCCATCGATAAATTCAGTGATGGCCTTCTGAAATGATGACTTCTAAATTGGTTGCGAATCACTCCCAATTGATTAATGAACTGTGTCTTGTTCCCCGGTTGCATCGAATAGTGTGTACTAAAAGCTATCATTTTAGAAAAGTGACGAAGAGCGACACATTTCGATCGAAGCAATTAGAATCTTGTTGTGATTCAAATACATAAACACGTTTGATGGCAAATATTGTCTCATAGCATCTACACCATACAACAGAAAAAGCAGTTTCAGTAGACGTCTCTAAATTTACTGTACGATCTGAATGGGTTTCGAGGCGACAAGTGTGTTCGTACCGGAGACTTCGGCTGCGATATCTGTGGCTGAATTGTCGTGAACACCAACGTTAGTTGGTTGTAAGTGTAGTCAGTGGCTTGGTTTTTCTGGGAACGGGTGTCAAAATTCCATGTCCATAAGGAAAACCCCTCAGTTTTGACGTTTCGGTGCACAGATGCTGCAACAATCACGAAAGTCCGTAATGTAAGGCACACCAATCCACCGCGAAGAGGTTGGAATTTTTCGCAAAACCACTACGTTTTGAGCAACTCCCTCAGCCTACTGAAGCAAACTATAAAAAAGTGTGGCATCCAGTCTTTGTTGTTAGGTTTTTCGACGGATACAAACTGGACAAATAGTCTACTGATCGTTCGAGTTGGCAACCTCAAAAAGTTAGAATTCTCTGGTGATCATATGCTAACCTCAGCTGCCTTATAGCTAGTCAGTTGAGTCAAACGAAATCCAAATGTCTTCCTGTCTAGGCCTGGACGCCATGACAGGACAAATGATACTCTGATATACCTGATGAATCAATTCACGTTCTTTTACGCTACATACACATATCACTATTCTGCATTGCAGAGAAACCTAGTAACCACTACTACGTGTAATGATGAGAGAGATAAAAAAAGAGGTGCAACCGAATTTGTTTTGTATGACTAATTCACACCTTTGGAATTCAATAAAGAACTGTAAACTTCACATCTTGTTCCAGTTATAGCTCATCTGCCTCATCGGCAATGGTTCACATTTGATAGCGTTTCGTTAACCTTATCGTTAAAAAAACAAATGCAGTGGATTTATTTTCTCCGTCTTATTTGGGTTCATCGTATGAGCAGTTCTCCTCTTGTTCTGACACGGTCACTATGGTGAGCCCAGACAACAAGAGAAGTAATGAAAACAAAGTCGAATGCAATAAGATTGCCAAAGTGCATTCAAAATTGTCTGGTAGGTTTCAAGTGATCGTGGTGACACATGGTTGAAGGCGGACGGATCGGTCAGCAGACTCAACCAGGGCAGTTACTGGGTCATCATTTAGGGCGTCTGGTGAACTGATTACATCATACAACATATTCGGCCGTTCAGATGTGATCTGTCCGGAGTGTGCTGGGGAAGTGGTGGAAACACACTGCCCTCGTGTGTCGGATGTCCGGAGCTCAAATCCCTACAGGTTCTCAAGCCGAACCTTGGAAATCAATGGACTGAACAAGTGTTTTTCGCCTGATGGCTGGTAGAGCTAGCTCACTCTGTCGAGAACATCCTCTAGTGCATTTTCATTCCAGCACAACTTCAGTTGCGCTCATCAGACCATTAATGCTAGAACAAAACAGGTCACATAGTATTTGACATCAGAACAAGCTATAGCATTTACATATTCGTCTCCCACTACCACACATGGTTCAGACAACAACTCTAATCCACTTTAGTGCATTGATCCAGCTTGTACAAGTGTTCCACGTTTTCCGTGTAGTATATGTCAGTCGATATTTAGAACAAAGCCTATTCTGATCCAGTGAGCATATAGTGCAACCACATGGAACTCATTTGATTGACAGCGACTTACTCCATCCCATACGGTAATCGGATGATGCGACATCAGTCTGTGCAAGACTGGATGTGTCCGATTGCCAGACGTCCACCTGAAGTAGTAAACACCACCGGGATGAAGTCCAGTGGATAAGCTGCTGTTGCTGTGAGCTTGCCCCATTCAGTAGCAATTCAATCAGACTGATTTCATGCATTATCTCTGTTTTCGCTCCAACTACCAATACGCGCCAGGATACTGGGAGTACCATTTCCAAGACAGTGTTTATGTCATCGTCACAAAAGGATCCCCGTATCTGGCGCGACGTCGCTGTAACAAGTACGACACATTTACCCGGTAGGTTGCATGTTCCGGAACTGGATGACGTTGGATAAATAAGCATGCAGTGGAGACGTACGTGTCCACAGAACGCAAAGGGTCCGGCATTCCTGAATGCAGTTCTCAGGCCCGTGAAGCGNAATGCAGTTCCAGGCCCGTGAAGCGATGTAGCTGAACACGTAACTTTACACCGGGTTGAGCGATATTTGGGATAAGACGGAGTGACTTTGTAGGTAGCTGTTCCTTCCGTGCGCAGACTGTAGTGTTTTGTTCGCTGTCAGTCACTAAATCCAACGGCGGATAGTCAATAAGGCGATTGCCATACAACAGAAAGATGCCCAATCGACCATTCGGTTGAGAGGAGTGAATACTGAAAAGTTCTACCCCACAACGGGCTCGGCGCTCTATGTTCATTTCAGTTTCGGGATCGTGGTTCATTAGATATGCTAGAACTTCGCTGGATAGGTTTCCACGTGCTACGAGGCGATCGAGCAGGTTTGGAGAGTAAACACGTAGCCATAATTCCATGGTTAAGCCTGATCGTAAAGAAAGAAAGAGCTGGTGTAAATCTAAGCAATGGCTCAAGGTAAGTCGTTCTGAGGATCATGTGATTTCGGAACTGACGTCATTTAATCGTGTTGTTTCTATAGAGACAAATGAAGCTTGCATTGCGAAATTCGGAACTAATTTAATCTACGATCTACGCCAATACACGAATATCAACAGTCTTTAAGGCAACAGTCACTGGGTAATTTTGGAAAATCCGGTGCGCTTCTGGCACTAGGATACGACAATGGTTTACTGAGAGAAATCTCACGATCAATGAATAATCCAGTATTGTCGGTTTAGAAGACAAGGTAGAAACGAGGAATAAACCGAAGGCGACGTTGATAAATGTAGTTCGGCTCATCTAAGAACTCTAAAACATATCTTAAAGCAAGTGCCGAAACTTCTGATGAACACCAGGGACGTTTGTCAACATTTACGAGGTATATAGCAAAATGTAACCCAACCCAAAGATCACTGAATACTCTACTAAACAACCATTTTCGTAAGTGACAACAGCTGATTTGTCACGTTCAGCGACCTGGCTCACTCATATCCGAACACGAACATGTCCTCGCGAAGAAAGACTACCGCTCAGAAACCAATGCATGGCGCTGAATTGTTTAGTTCATGAAGTTCCCATTAAATACCTGTTCACTGAGTCACAACCTTGCCCATTCTGATCAACTTTTCATGACTAATGCAGATCTGATTTCGGATTGATTCATAACTTAGCGAAGCAGCAGAATGCGTATTGAATCACTTCCAACAAGCGTTCACTTCTTAAGCAGCGTTGCTCGGAGGTACCCACTGCAAACAGCTGGAATGTCGCTCAGTTCTCAGAGTGGCAAAGTGCTAGTCGAGTGATTGCAATACGTCGGCGAACCACCTTCAGATGGAAATTGGTGCACAAACGGAGCCCAATTCCGTGCTTCGTGATCAAACGACAAAGCCAGTCCACATCAAACCTAACGAGGATACATCGATCAGAACGTAAAGTTCGCACGTGTTCGATCGACCTGATGGGCTAAAGCCTGACAAAACCGTGAAGCTAAATGACTCTCTCGGGACTGAACTGACCACAGGATTCATCCATATGCTCAGGATTCCACTCTTCCTTCTGGTGAGGAAGGATCCACAACATCAATTGTGATAGCTGCAACAATTGCAACTCACCTTCTTCCGTCGAATTGTGACTGAGATTTTCATGAAGCCAGTTGAGAAACGCGTTAGTAACTGACTTGCTCAGCTCGGCTCCAGGTTGATGTCTACAACGGAGGGTTGTTTGATGAGTCTGGCTCCAATGCGATCCCTTCCGTTTGTTCGGGCCGGCCGAAAAGCTACATGACACTTGATGATGTATAACAGGAACATCTCCCACCAGTGTATCGCAGCCAGGAGCAACAAGGAGTTGAACCGGAGTGCGGTACGTGGATACAGTCCCGGATTGTCCACCTGGAACAAAATAAAGGCGATTCGGTCAAGAGGGTATTCAAAAGACAGTAATACGCAGAAGGTAGGGATCGAGTAGACGCAAGCGGTTAGGTGCAAGCGAATTTATGCATACGAATTCAACATAACGCTCCCGACCAATCACATCGGCACTTTTGCAGGCGGTAATCAAGAGATTGTTGCACTAACCTGATGGAAAATGGTATTGTACGAAACAGTCACAATCACCCCAAGGCACCGCGCCACCAAACTCGAAATTTTCTCCCAGAGCGATATGGGGATCGAACTCCCGGAGGTTTTCAATAGTCACAGTCAGGGAATGTTCCACTGCAAGCACAAACGAAATTGCATGCTGACATCTAGCAGCACATAAAGATAATACTCAAAATTTTATATCTGGAGATTGGAGTAAGATAAGCTCTTAAAAGAGGCGATACAAAATTCAATTTGAATTTGTGCACATAAATCGATCACCCCATTGATCACCTCATGCCTAGCGAACGAAATTTACACGATTGATACTGCTGAGGTTTGGTGAGAAGCCCCTTCCAAAAACGCTCCAAAAAACCCGAACACCCAAAGCTGCTACAAGGAGCGTTTCTCTTCTCTAAATGGTTCGCTATGGGTAAATTCTCGAACAAGATAATATTCCTCATATGGTACAAGAGAAGGAGGCAAGTGGCCCGAACACCGAACTTATGGTGCAGCTAGTGTGAACACGTTGCGTGGACGAGATCACCTTGGTCAATAAGGGTGGCTTTGTAATAATATATATATATATATATGCCGAAAGACCGAGAAGTACTGTACAGCTATTTCTTCCTTGTTCGTAATAATCAGAAATGCGCATCTCACGAAACTCAGAGTTTCGAACCACTGACCTTGCGGTCAGTGGTGGAACAACGAGTGGCCGACTAGCACGGTGATTAGCTCTCACTTAGACTGATGCTTCAATAACGGAAACCACATCACGTGGTCACGTAGTGACGGCTCCTCGAGTGACAACTTCTCAGAAGGAAGTTTCAGACATTGAGTGAAATTATCCTTCCTCTGAGCTGTCCATTGATCCCTAGCAATGTGAGGAGATTTTATAATATTCAACACAGATTTCACTCTGCCAGCGAAGCCAACCTATGCTGAAAAGCCTAAAAGTAATGTACAGATGTTCAACCTCTTTGTGCGCATCTCACAAATCGGCGAACTTCCGGTCAGTAGTTTAACACATAAGCGTTTGACTACGAGTTGCTGATCAGCAATATGATTGGCTCTCGGAATGTTTTGTGGTAAGCTAGCACTAAGTCCCTTCGCCGTCCGCCTTTATTCTTTTCTTTACAATAAGGCTTTCAAATAAACCATGGTTGTACAGCAGTGAAGCATCGGTGTTGAACACTGATTCATGTTGTCGATGATGATGATGCTTATCCTTACAATTTGTTTACTATCCATCCATCACAATTATCTATTCTAGACACTATGAAAGTGTGTCACTCTATCCGCGACCGACCGATTGGGCAAAATTATCCACACACTCACATAACTCAGTTACTGTATCACGTGAATCTTAGTTTATTTTCCATTGTTTTTATCCTTAATGGACAAAAGTTGGGTGATCGAACTCCATAATATTCTGTACGATATGGAACTTGAGCAACGTTTGGGTGACATTGAAGGACGAAGATAAATTTAGAAAATAAAGAACGGTAGTCCTGCACTGTGCATGATGTGTTATCATAACCGCAGGACAGGAAGCTTTATTCGAGCTCATGAATGTACTACAACAGTTTACGAGTTCATATAGGCACTTCTTGTGCACTGTCCGGAAATCTGCCATCTTACACAACATTCCGGGCCAGTTTCGAACCGAGAAGCAAAACACCGATAGTTATGCTGAACTTTGCGTTTTATCCCCAAAGCATGTGCTTTGGGCTATAAAAAAATCAGGCCTTAACGGTCTACTGGGGAAGTGTCAGTTAGACTGATTCAAAGTGCCTTCATTTTACCCCTGAACAGAGAGAAATGATAAGGTTTAGTCCTCCAACGAAGAACGCTGGAATTTGTGGCTTCGTTTGATATAAACAGTCAGAAATTTAAAAAGTTGTAAAAGAACAATCAATCTTTGGAGACAAACTTTTCCACAGTAAACAAGTTTATGGTACCCCAACAGCTTGTTCCTCCACGAAGTCAATGTATTCACCAATGACCAGTCAATGAAAATGACAAAGGTTTCAAAGATATCGTGAGACCGTGCACCACCATTAGTTTCCCCAACTGAAGGAAATGCTCTCCGGTTTCCAGCAAGCAAAAGCAGTCTAGTACAGCTAAAACCGAGGGTTTCATTAGGTTCGGGAAACTACTCATCGAAAGACGCCATTCTGATGAATTTCTCTCGACTATGCAACTTACCGTAGATGACATCAGTGTGATCGGTCTCCACCGACATCATCTGAATTCCAGTAGAGTCTGGTCGATTCACCGTATCGTGTGGTAGCATCGTATCAGTGTTTTCACCTACAAGTCGATCTATCTGCTGCTTTGTACCGACCGCCAAACGTACGTGAAGTTCACCACGCTGTGAACCGGAATAAGGATCCGTAATGGGCAGCCAAGAGTCGAGCAAAATCATTGGGTTCTGAAACCAAAACAGTAGAATGGTTTGTTGAATGTGTGAAATCTGATAGGGCCAAGATATGATGTATAAACACAAAAGCAAAGGGCATCATTCGAAACGTCCATCACATGTGGGCACATGAAAGGATCCATTGTTTGGTTTCGCACCGACATTCGGGATCTTTCGACGCGAAACTTTGCCGATTTCCAGCAAACTTACCATGGTTCTGGGGTTTGAGTACACAGACCTACATGATGTATTGTACTACGAAACATAGGACGTTGTTAAAATTGTTTGATGAATTCGTGCCTCACTGGAAGCACTAAATTAAAAGCGGTTAAAAAAATATGAGTTGGTGGGAATCTAAAAGTAATCCGAAAAAGTTCAGCCAAAAATACTGTACGACACCTCTCAGGTGTCGTTGTTGTTGCAAGGCATGAATGCTTATCAATGTCAAAGACTTTTCAATCCAGACTGTTTAGCAAGCGTTGGAAATGTACGCAAATCGGAATGCTTGCGGTGGACGAGTACCGATTCCTTTCATCTTCCCACCTGTTCCTCTTTTCGCAATTAGGCTTCCATTTTTGCAACGTTGTTTTATGGCAATGATTCAGTGTCCAACCTCAATGTTGATGCCAGTGATAGCGACGGCAGTGATAAAGGGTGGTGGTCTTATAAGTCTAAAACCTTACCATCACTTTCGTTACGGATATTAGGTTAACTACCTGGAAAGTGGAACATCAACCGATCAATGGAACATAGGTCAGGCAGTCTACAAACAACCAATCAGATAAAAAGGAAGCTTGAAAGAAAACAAACTTACCTGGAAACTGAGCAAAGACTGCAAGACTGATTCTTTCTTCGGCAGGACAGTACCACTTTTTGAGTCCACGATGTTGAACAAAGTGACCATCTTTTTTGTTGGAATCTTGGTCAAACCGGCTAGTCGATCGACAGAATCAGACTCCAGTTTTATCCAAACTTCTATCACCGCAAAAGAATTCAAGAGATTGTTCAGAATGGCCTGGTCGGGGAGATGAAAGAGAACAGGGATTAGGCAGATGAAGAACATCAGTGTTTCGATTATGGGATTGAACTCTGAGGCATTTCATTCTCATAGGACCGCCCTCCTCAGAAATGGATGTTGTCCACTGATGTGAATTTAATCCTTTCGCTGGTTCTGCGGAGTTAGTTACCCCCGAAGGAGTATGGTTGAAAAAAATCCGGTGGCGCTAGAAGTGTCTTCTTGATGCCCCATTTTGGGGTCCCTCGTAGAGATACATTACATATACATGTATGAATTCACATTCGAAAAATAACCTCAGGTCTACAGGGACCAAGTGTTTTACCTCGTTTAATGTGCAACTCGTTCGCAGATGGAAATTATACACAGGTGCTTGGTCTTCAAAGCTGCAAGGCGCAGAGCTGGTGCAACCGACTTTGTTGGACGTTTCGACCGCAGAACTTCTATCCTGACACCAAGGTAGACGGAGGGTTAAGTATGAATGTCGGATGCCTGTCTTCGGTGTCCCGGAGCAAGATGTATCATCATTCGCTATGTATATACCACGACCTCGTGAAACTGACAGAAATGTCTCCAAATGTATAGGTTGGAGGGGGTTCCTATTTCCTGAGGGCGAATTCTATAGAGAAGAAGAAAACAGAACTCTGCTAGAACATCACAAACTGAAAGAATCCAAGAACTACAGACAATGCACCTGCTTCTACTAAACGATGAAATGTTCAGTCGGTATAGAGTAGAATAACCGAGGAGAACTTGCACAAAACACGACACTGTAACCGTACTCTTACCACCAACAACTGCCTGTAAGAAAACCACCTGTGAAAGAACGGTCATTGACATTTTTTCTTCATATGATACTACTCATAAGTTGGACGAAAGTCATTGGAAAGCCAGGATTGTACATCAACCCTGTGAGTGCTGTCACATGAAGAAAAACACTTCGACAAGTTAAGTATGGTCTCAACTGAAACACCAGGCGCTCTATGTGTGGCATATCAAGTAGAAAAAAATGACGACGAGGGATTCAGCGAACATCCAGTTGTCTCCTATTGATACCAAATAAATTTATCAATGAGGTTGTCTTTACTTTTACACAAACAGGGGCATAAGGCCGAGAATAGTTCCGACATTTCCATAAGCCCCGAGACCGGTATTCGACTTTCGAGGAAATTTTAACACCAGCATAAGTAATGCCATATCAGAAAGCATACTCCGACATCTGGAATGTCATTCTAGCTGAAGCATGCAGTATAGTTGGATCAGAAATATCATTGAAAGAAAATTTACTTGAGTCCACTGTTGGCACATCTCGATTCGTGCTCAATTCTAACTAGTGACATTATTCAAGTTAAGCATTCACAGAATTAATTCCGCACACAACAGATATCTAGCTGGTCGCGTGTGGTGCTTTTCTTGTTCACCGCCTTGGTGGCTCCTGGCCGTATAATGCTCGGCTTGCATACCACATCTAAAAAGTCGGTTGGAAATGGCACAAAAGTTGACTTGGCTATTATTCTTTATACCCATCCACTGGGAGAAATGAATACATATAAACTTATCAGGTTAGTATTATTTTGCGATTATCCGTAGCTTGAACTTCAAAGCACAGAACACTCTAGCAACACAGGAGCTAAGAATTTGTTCTATGAATGCCAACTGACAAAACAACCAGCATACAACCAACGAAGATGGGCTACACAATGGATTATTGTACGGCTGGGTGAACTGGCCCCTTCCTTTCGAGGATCTGAGGGACCTTTAGATAATCGAAAACAGGTGTTTGAGAACCACAGCTGGAACAATGGGTAGTAATACACGGATTTGCAATGAGGTGACCAGAAAGCTGAGGTCTGTCGAAGCATGGGTTATCCGGCACTGCAGCTTCACTTACCGGCTCTTCTCTCTTCCGTCTCTTCAGTATTATATACACTGACATGGTTGAAGGACATTAGAATTTTGATGTCCCAAAGTAGTGTTAGTGATGATGATGACGATGTCGTCATCTTATTTACTGCTTCGCTAAGTAGGCTTGTGTAAAGTCAAATTCAGAGACTTGGTACTACGATGCTTTGGGCTGCGAGTAGATCGATGGTACGTATTCCGTAGATGAAGTCAGAAGTGACGTAGCAAACAACGGACTGGGGTCTTGATCGAAAGCAGAAATCCACACGAATGCCGCTTAGCTACCATCCGCTCAGACGTCCACCACCTCAGTTTATTTCTGGACGCTACCGACGTCGTGGGGGATGAGCAAAGCATCCCAAACTCATACAAATAGTAATCGGCTTGGTTTGGCCCACAGTGACTAACTTCATTTGGAATGCAGTGTTAGGGCATCGAATTCTCCGTTACCTTCAACAAGTCAAGCGCAATGATGTGGACGCCTCTCATAATTCCGAAAACACGCTAGTTTCTCAACCAAATAAATCCCTGTCGACGTTGATGCTGCTTAAGGTAACTTAGAAGTCGGATTGGACCAGAAGCCTTGGTGTCATCTTTCTGCGGGATTCGCTGCATGAGGCAATAGTAATCTGTGCATACGAGATGGGTAAATGTTCGGTGTGAGCTATGAACCGTGATACTGAGTCGTTTTTAGTTCTTTGTGATAGCCGAAGAAAACTGAAATATAGGGCGTCCAGATTCAAATTCCACAATTGATCACGTCAAGTTGGAGGTACAAAAGGTACAAACAGTAGGTACGCAATAGTTAACCGGATAACTGAGACCGAAACCCAGTGAGGACGAGTTCACATTGTCTTCGTAGTCGGAAAAAGGTTGAATTTAGAAAAAAGACTGAAGTTTGAGGCCTAGTCTGTTGCACACAACAATCACCGTGGTTATCCTCGATTCCGAAGGTCTCTTCAATGCTGGTAGTGCAGAATGCTTATCCAACTTCTCCAAATGAGCGTCCACAGGTTGCGTCGGTTCCACTGTTGCACCTAGTACAGGGGAAAACAGAAGACTGTCCATGAACATGTCAATAAATTTGGATTCATTTGTAATATCGAGTTGGGAAAACCCGTGCTAACCGAGGTGTGAGGACACATTAGAAACGGGTAGGATGTTTCCAAAACTATGTCTCTGACGACTGTTATGAAGAGCGCAACGAAATGTATTCAGTGGAACCCATGGTTTCGTTTACTGCACTGACCCCGTTTGGTCCTTGAGACGTACCCAAGCAAAACATTTGTATTAGATTTTACAAGCACTCTTTAGGGCAATAAACATCCACGTCTGCCAGAGATCTCCTCCGGTCCAATCTGATGAACCTGTGCGGGTCTGGACTGAGCTGGAGAATATGAGGCGTGAGTCATTCTCCATTATGCATCGTCAAAAGCAGATATCACAGTGCCTAACCTGGGTGAATTTGATGCTTGTAAAAATAGCGATAACGGAAGAGAGTTTTCGAGTATCTGTACTAAGTGATTATAAGTGTTACATTGAAAACAACCCCGACAGATAAATTTGGGTCACTTAGACTATAGTCTAACAAAGGTATTTTGAATAGATCCGATTCATAAGCATCCCACTCTGCATAGCCAGTCATTGGTAATGAAGAGTACACACGGTATGCTTGTGTCCGCCGGCATTACTACCGTTTTTCTCATATTTTCCACATGTTTTAATCATATCACGGTCTATTCGTATTCAGCCACTCAGTAATCTAGTTCAACCCTACGCATAGACGCAAGGTGTGATAGGTGTGTCGAGAATACAGCTCTCTCCTCATCAGACAACCTCCGAACATACAAGTCTTTTTTCGAGTTGATTAATTTACCTAGCCACAAAATTTTTACCGTAGCATATATCAAACACCCAACGGAATGCAACAGCGAATATTCTAGAAATTCCATGAACGGCGAACGTTGGCGAAGTCGCCTTGTTCATCCGGAAGGGAAAAACACGTACCTTCGTTTACCACACCGGTGGTCGGAAGCACGGGTTCCAGCTCGAGGTCCAGCCGGCCCCAAACTGATGAATTTGGTGAACTACCAGACTCTTGCGAAGGGCCAGTCCCGGGTGAAAACAAATTCAGTGACATACAAATGGTCCCTTTTGAATTACGGTTCGTGACAGAGGATAGAGCATTTTGTATGTTGTCCAGTGCCAGGTCATTCTGACAGATCAGCTGAAAAGGTTCCAGTTGAAAAGAAAACCATAGCGAAGCGGGACAATGGGTTGAAAGATACCATGGACAATACAATCTGATGAGAACGGCGGTGCTGAGTACGCTAGGGAAATCAGCAGACTACGATTGTTCGTGATTCTCAGACGGGGTAAAAATCCGAAGTGCACCATTGGTGTCTTCACTCACAAGTCTCACCACTCGACAGAGAAAATATCTAGCCAGCCTAGATGAGTTCCTCATCACCGTGGGCAACGTAAACTAAAAGTATATTCTGATGCTTCGCTGTAGAAAAATAACCTCGTAAAGAGCAAAAAGAAATAGAAAAGAATCATTACAAAATCAACCAAACGCCCTGGTAAAACGCTCAACAACAAGGTTCCTGAACACCAAAAGCGGGGGTAAGCGTATATGATCTTTAGATTTGTGTAAGATGCCACCAATGAGACCCAGCTCATCCAACACAAACCCAACAGAGCAGACATGAGATGGAAATATGCTGGACACTAATGGACCGCGTGCAATGTCTTGTAAAGTTTTCAACAATATGGAAGGAGAAACAAGTACACTCAGTCACTGAGGCATGAAGAGCTCGCAGCGCTCAATTTGACAGTAACTGACCCCGATTCGTCTGGTGAGATCGGTTTCCATATCTCTATCGTACAAGCTTTCCACCGATACAGATAGCACTTCCTTTGGTTCGACCCACACAGTATGGATCCTCACCCCTTTAAGCTAACAAGATTTATTATTTCGGTGATTCTGATTCATCTCCAAGTACTCATGTTAGGGAAAAATTATTTTACCAAATCAGAATGTTCCCTTAGTAAAAAAAACTATCAGAACTCAACAATAGGCGTCTTATAAAGCGAATTCACACACCAATACGAAATGTCTTCTGAATAGCATACAAGTTAATCATGCAATTCGATCGCAGTTTGGCGAAAGACTGTCTGACCCGTCTTCAACGTAGTGTTAAAAGCTGTAGGGAGCCAGTAAACCAGAAAAGAAACACGTAACTGGTTGGAGTGAGGCGACCGATCCATGCGTACGGGTGTTCAATTCAGGAAGCATCCCAAAACCAACAAAGCCTGCTTAGCTCAATTTAAAAAGTCACAGGAGACTCGCCTGGCGTTCATCAAAGAAGTTGACTCGGAAGGTGGGTTGAGTGTGATGTCGTCCCCCAGGCAGAAAGTGAGTCAATCGCCTTGATCCTGTCACGCATGTATTTCGAGGCGACAACGATAATTGTGGTGTAACATAAGGTACTGATGACCTGATGAACGTAAGCGCGCGTTGAAACGAGTCAATTCTCATTCGCCGATGCCCACGTGACCTTTGAGCTTGACATCCCCTGCCTTCGTAATCTGGTCGATACTGAAGTGACCTTTGTCCTTCCGAGGTCCGGAACACTACTCAACGCCACAACCACTAACCCACCGCTACGCACCACTACGCTCATCAATAATGCACTGATGATGCCACCCCGATTGGTGATGGAACGTTTGCAATCAAATTGCCCATCTCAGCGAACAAACCAACGACTATCTGCGCTACCTGAGCTACTAGCATTGTCCTCTACAGCGGAACATGTTCTCAAAGATGTGATTCGTCTGTGCGATGCGCACACAAATTCTAAGATGTTTGCAGCTACTCACAAGAAACTCTGTAAGGTACTTTTAGGATGAGTGCGACGCCTGTCGTGTGCACGACCGTACGTTCAGACGGTGAACGAATGGTTAAACATTAGTGCCAATTCTTGGTTAAAATGTTTACAATGAACTGGGAGAATCGAATGGACAAAGGTATCAATCGGACTAGATAAAACAGAAACTGGGAAACTGGAAAAAAGTGAACTTCCCATGACTTACGGTGGGCGTAAAATCCGCCAACACGCTCCCTGGAGACACATCAGGAGCAGTGAATACTCGAAACTGAACTTCGCCAGAATTGGAGTCTTCAGTCCGAGGAATTTCCAAAAACATCAACAATTCTGGTTGTGAGCTTTTGGGGGCAAACGCTACCATATTTTGCTGGTCTCGTCCAGTGAGGCCGCAAAATAGCGGTTTGGCCACTCTATGCAACGAAACACTGGAGGTCATGCGTGTCCTTTGGAGTAGTACTGCTCCGCGTATTTGGATGGAGGCTTCCAAGTTAACGCTGTGGTGCGAATTGAATTTGGGCATATAGATATACATCAGTGAAGTGCTTCAAAATCTGTAGAACAGTAAAACTAATAGACGACAGCTGAGTCAAAATCGGAGATAGTAATGTTTGCTATTCACACTAAACTGCTATGAAGGAACATCATAAACGAGAGATTCAGTTGGGTTCCAGATGGATCTCCGGTCAAAACCAACTTGATATGCAAATCGGTGCATTTTTACAAACAAGACCCACTTTCACAAGGTTAAGTTTTAAAGAGGATATTCCCAGTATGGGTATGCAGCTAACAGCAGAGTAATTAGTGTAACAAATTTTTCAACTAGGGCCATTTCTTGGCCTGGAAAATTGACTGCGTCTTAAAAGTGGAAAAACAAAACGAGCGATTCCGCACGATTTAACCATCGATCGGGCAAACCGGTCAACTGTAGTGAAAGAAGACGTCAACTTACGTAGACATCGCACCCAGATTGTGAGACTGCTGCACAGCTGGTGACTTCGATCGGGACCGAGGTGGCTCGCACCCGGATTGCCTGTTACCACGATCCCGTGGTGACGCCCCAGTGTGACTGAGCTTACTGGGGTAGTTCAAACTGACCACACGTGGGTGTAACAACCGATTGCGTTCACTGGATGGTTGGGTCAGCTGAAGATTGCGGACGAGCAGGTTCACACCACAGAATGCTGTTTGGTTCGTGGCTGGCGATGAGCATGAAAACGAAAATCCCGATGCTGATGAAATCTCACAAGAATATTAGTAAACAGTTAAATCGGGTTGGAACCCTTAGCTATAGAAAAGGCGAACTCGAACCTCTATAGTAATCCCCTTAAAAGACGTTCCGCTTACCACTCAGTCGCGAAACCTGAATGTCATTCTGGGCATCTGTCGAAGCAGGAACAACATTTTCCCCCAAAGGGCGGGATCGGAGGCAGTTGTAGGCAGTGAAAAATTTCGAAGATGTTTCCAAATCCTGGAAAAAACGACGTTAATTAATACTGACACCCAATCACAAGTTACACAAACCACAAACCTAATGAAACGACCTTGCTCAGAATCCATATGTGATTTTGGGATAAAGCTGCCTTGATCTACGAAGAAGAATAGTTCCGGATACACTGATCTCCAAAAATAGTTGTTTAGCCACGAATTAAAATGGAAATTAGTTCCTTTACTATTAAACTTCAGTCACGAATCGATGTATTATTAATCAACGAGGAATGGAGTACACATCTGGAAAGTGAAGATGGCGATAGAATAATACTCCAAATCATCTTGGGTCAAAGCATGTCGCATATTTCGAGTCCAATACGTTTGCATCAGCACAGGTGTAACGGTGGATACTACTGAGGAGGCATGCGAGTAGCATGTTTCCTCATAAATCCGCTTCATGTCTATTGAAGAGTGAGATTTATTGCGAGATTTGTGGAATTGCTTTGTAGCGCTCGTTTACGTCTGAGTGATAGTCAATGAGTATCGAGGAAAGTTCAGAAAGACGCGTTCGAGAAGAAAGCGGATACTCGGTTTTCATAAACAAGATGCAGATGAGTTTTGCTTCCTTGCCCAATAGTCTGCAACTGTTCAGTTAGTGTTTCCCAATAAAAAAACTCCGCAGCGAAGGCCTTCTTTCTTTCAGAGGTAGCAGTTGGACATCGAGTAACAACTCAAAAGATTGAAACAGTATTTCCCTCGGATGATTCTAAGTGACAGCATCCAGTGAAAGACGCCAAACCGGATCGACGATGATCGAACGCATTAAAACCAAATAGAACTTACGACTTTGAAAATGTCTTTCATGAGTCTTTCCAAGACTAGTATCGGAACACGCACAGTTAACTGAGGAATGTTAGTAATCTTACGCTCAACACAAAAATCACGCACTGAGGCACCTGAATCGATATTCTACGATATTCATTGTGCAAGGAACCCATGAAACCCAACAACAACGGCTTACGTTAGACGGGAAAAACAACTCTTCGACAAGATGTTCGTTCTGACTGAAGTGCTGAATTGGACTGTCTTCAAGATTGCAAGTCCCCTCGATTGGGTCATCGTGAGGAGAAGAGAACAACAGCTGATTGACGGAAGCCACATTCGAATCAACAGGCTGGCTATGGATCAGACTTAAAAGCCTCCGAGTGTTTTCCAGGAGTCCGTCGCACGGAGGATTTTGATCGTCCAAACTTAGAGAACCGAGATGAAGTTCGGGATTGGACGGGAACCTGTCAGTAACACAGAACAAAGAAAGTGAGAGGTCATTTTACCGTCCAGGTAAATAATTTGATACAGCCTGTCTTTTCGGGAGGAAGCTCTGTTAAATGCTATCATTCCATTCCGTTCCGACTGCCAATAATGTAACATAATGTTTCATTAGTAAGCGCTCTGTGACAAGCGGGGTTCAACCTATCATCTGCAACAGTGTGGATCGACCAAACACCATTCCTCCAGTCTTCTAACTACAAATAAGCAGCCAGATGGATGATAAGAAGGGATTTATGCAGAATATAGAAGTAGACAGTCGGAGGTGACAAGAAAGTAACCGTATAGCTGGATGACAAAGCCCATTTCTTCAGGGACAAAATCCGTGAATGTCATAAATCTAAGTGATCTGGATTCTCTATAAAGCCCCTCTCACCATTTCACATAATTATGTAAACGGAAAATTTCCGGGTACTTACCTGTTAGCAGAGGGAATCCCGGTGAACTGAGGGGCAAGCATATCTGAACTCCGAAGCATTCCATTCGACATGTGGCGACCGCCGGTACACTGCTCGCTTTCAGGTAGCTGTCGTGACTCGATAGGTTTTGAGATCAAATTTCTATTGAAATGATGGAACAACGCATTGAGTTTGTGAGTTTGGTGATCGCCATCCGTCGGGGGTGGTCGCACCAGTGGTGACGAGTCTGGCTGGGCGGATATGTCAGGATTGATGCCGTCGTCGGACAAGTCTTCATCTATTACATGTTCTTTTGAGATGCATGAGATAGGTGGTTGTTGGTCCTGCTGTTCATCCTTGGAAAAAACAATAAGCAAAATGTTCGCAATGAATAAAACTTGATCTAAAGTTGGTGACCATTGGAGGCCGCCTCTTTTTGTCAAATTCTGGATCCACATATTAACGGTTTATTTGTGTGAGACAAAAGGTTAGCAAGTCAGCTCTGGGGTTGAATGCAGGTTAGTCAAGGCGTCTTAAAGTACTTTATTAGCATAACATTTTCAAAGGAAAGAAGAAAATTCATTCGGACTGAAGAAGAGGTTGCGCAGTCGTACTAGAGACGAGGAAGCCTCGTAGGATGGAGGGAGTAATGCAGTCGCGGGGCAGAGTACTTAAAATTATAGAAGCGGTCATTGTTGGGTAACGAACTTATCTCCTCATTTGTGCACATGTCAATTTTATAGACAACAACATCAACCCACTGACCTGGGGTCGGGACTGGGTGGGATCAGGCAGGCAGTGAGCACTCTCGCCGTCCGCTGGCTCATCTAAGCGACGTTGTGGCAGTTGGGGGGACCGAACGTCCCCACTCACGCGGGCATTCGGTTGTTTGCTAGAGGCATCTTGGGGACAGTTTTGAGAAATTGAAATGATGGGTAAAAATTGAGGAAACATTAGAAAGAAAACATTATCGTGTTCATATGTTCACATTATGCTCATAGTACTGTTCAATAAACGGAATTTTAGTGCGTAAATTCTTCGTACATGGCACACAAGGAGGCCAAATACCGTTTAACCAGTTTAGGAAAGGATAAGCATACCTACTTGCTATGTAGAGTTGCCTGAATGACCGAGGGAATTGCAGCAGAATAACCTATCCCTTTTAACATTATGCGTTCACCTGAGTACAGTAAATCGCCAGTTGGGTTAGAGAATTCCCCCATCGACACCATGAATAAAATCTATATAGATCCACATGTCAGCACCAGGCTTTCAGTTCGAAGGCTTCCAATTTTATGGTCACTGTAATATATATCAGTTAATCGATCGAATTTCACCCATGTTAATGGTCTCAATTTATTGTGTATACACTGGACGTTTTCGAATTGAACATACCGAATATATGGCCTTCATATTTAAGGAACGAAATGAACTAATCACTCTACTATCGGGCTAAAAGTGGCTTGCTCATCAGTTGGTGATTTGGGCCATTGGTGCATCTTCTTTACGAGTGTCATAAGTGAAAACTAATAACAGCGAAACTCGAGCCCAGTGCCGCCCCTTGATGTGGAACCACCAGAATAATTACGCCAGAGTAGAAGGACAACCGTTCAGACGAGAGTAGCGGTAATATGAACAATACATTTCCCGCAAAACCCCACAACAGAATCTCAAACGATTGTTGAAAACGTTTTGACAACCCACCACCAGTTCCGGCAATTTTCTTTCTCACCAGGTGACCGTACTTTTCGAATTTCCATCAACGTGATCATTAGAAAATTGTACGGGGTTGTCGAAATACACTCACTTGCAAATTGTTTTAGTGTAAACGGGAAGCCCAACTCAATGCCAAATGGGAATCGATTGGGTCTCTCATCAACAACAATGCGTAGTGCTAAAGTTGAACAATGATAAACCTACCAACCACGACTTCGATAGAAATTGATACTGTTAGTTCTCCCAGCTTTTCTCCAACTTCGTCCGTGACAGGTAGAACACTAAAAATCCGAATGAGAGTAGGAAAACAATCAGTTACAAGAACATGTGTAATAATGCGTGCATCAGAGTTTAACATCTATTGCAGACTGTCTTGGTAAGTCAAGTATTTAATGAAGCACACAGCATGCAACAAACCATCGCGTGTATGATGTTTAGGATAAAATACATCTTCCTCTGACATGTCTGCTCACTTTTGCGCTTTCTTCATTGAAATGCTCTTCAAAAGAAATATTTTAGCTGTTCCTCTAAAACCCACTTTGTTTTCTTTCACTGAAGAGATTACTCCTCGGTTTGGGTTGAGGCTCAGGTTACAAAGCAAATACTTATCAGTTCCCCTTGGAGCGAACCGAAAACTCATTATCACTGGTCTTGGCGTATGCGACTACGCAGTCTGGTATTACCGGTATTACTGGCGTTACCGATTCGGGAGACTATCCTTTAAAATTACAAACGTAGATTTGTGAAACAATTTGACCGATATACCTTGACTGCTGGTGCACTGTGACGATGGAACACAGACAAAACCAAGTGTCGGCTGCCCAAATAAAAATTGTACGTCTGTTTCGCTGGCCGGACGCCACCCATTACCGAAGATCGGTTCAGTACTATAACCGCTTGAAAGCGGAAATGTGAGCTCTGGGACTTATAGGTGGCAACGCAAACCTTGGGTTCGACAAACATGCCTGAAGGGCTAAAAATCGACAAAGAATTTACTGAGCTACAAACAGACGGGGTCTCTATTGACTGGGTGATAATCAGAGCTGTGGTTGATAACTTAGGGGAACTAGTCAGTGTTTCCAAAATTTCGGCCAGATGTTACTGCCCGGTTACCCAAGACAAAGAAGAGGGTTTGTTTGAGGCATCTCACCTTGATCCTCCGACTCAAAAGTCACTGCTTTGGGAAAGGAGTGAAAGTAGAGTGAGATTAAAGTGGGGTAAGATCGAATAAACTGCCTTGTGAAACCGAAATCTGATAGTGTGTATTTTCCCATTAGAAAGGACGGTACTGTTAATCACAAGTCTCTCACCCAGCTGTCTGCCAAACAATTTTATCAAGCAAGTAGATCACAAACACATAACTTCATAAAAGCAAGTGCATATTACAGAAAGCTTTTGATCAGCAGCATTTCGCTTGATAAACAGTCCGGATCTTTGTAAGGCTAGTTTATCTTGTGTCCGAAGTTCCGGAAACTTCGAGCAACGAAAGTAACTGGTGATGTGTTATCAAGAGCAATTTTAGTAACTCAGGTTTTGTAGGTAGTTCTTGCTTCATTCGCTGAGCCGGGCTGCGGCGTTACAAGTTTCGTCAGCAATCATTGACACATCATCAGTGCGTAGTGGACTAACATTAATCGTAGATTATTAGTAGGCCGGTATGCAGGCGTGCTGTGCTCATGATTGTTGGCCGAGGATTCACCTTTAATCATGAACAGTCACTTTCGTGCGGATGGTTGGTCTACTTGACTGGACTGTTGGCTAGTTCCCTGATAGGTCGGTGTTAAGAAGACCTTTTGTCGGCCCACACTCGATGACCTTAGTCCCGTTGTTTCCAGAGTTACCATGTTTGTTATGTAGTCAAACATATAGTGCCCTTTGAGTTGGAAATCCCAACAGACGATGACAAACGCGCAAGCACAGCACAATCATACTCACGCCCCTTCTGCTCTACAGGCGCCCACTGTTGCAGTTGGTTCATGCACATTAGCCAGTAAAAAACTGGTCCAATTTCCACTGGCTGGAGTTTATTCTGGTGGCACTTTCCTGCATTCGTCAGCTTCAGCACGTGTCGTCTTGCCATCTATCTACCTTTTGGGTTCAACACTGTCACCTGCAACATATCCCTCGCTCTTAATGATGCGGAGATTGTGCCGAATTCCTTATGTCGCTTGAGTGAGTTTATAACAGCGTGTATTGCCCCTGGGATCTTTTTTGACCTTTTCCTACTGCCAGATGTCAAGACCTTCACTTTTAAGGATCGATTCATTCTCGATCTTAGAGCATGTAAACCTTGAATATTGAATCTTGGCCAAAACTGACCAGCACAACGAACGGAATAACGTCATGAGTTATTTATTTGCTTGACTACTACAACAGGATGCTTGACTGTTTGGTGCCACGCTATCAACAACATTCGAAGTGTGCACAGCCATCGGTTCAGAAGTTGCTGAAGGTAGCGTTCAGAGTCAGTTTCTTTAGTGACTGCTGGTGTAACAAAACAAAACTCACGTATGAACCGGGTTTTCCATGGATAGTCGTTCGATGTGGTCCAGACGTGCTCGTCCGATGAATCGAACACAGGCGGAGTCCACAACATTCATGTATAAGATGTTCATATCTGAGATGTTTCCGAAAAGAGCATTTAAGTGACAGTTGAAGGGAAGTTATTCGATTCTTATGTCATATGCAGTTACCCGGACCATACAAAAAGGATTTAAATTAAATGCATCATACAACTTCCATAAAGCGTGAGGTTTCCGCAAGGAGCATTACGCTCGACCAGCGGGAATTCGTTCAGGGCAATCTCTTTTGTGTTCTCATATCCACTGCATTCCTCAGTGTGACCAAAGATGGCAAGTGGTGAAGTATGGTGACAAGTTTTCAACTAAGATGGAGGTGTCTCTCTGATTAGTAGTTTCCACACCAAATATCCCAGATGTTTGCTGATTCTACCGAGCAAAATTAGTCCGTTTTAAGTGTAGGTGGGAGGGCAATCGTCAACTATTATCCGAAAGGTGCAGAAGGACTGAAGAAATTTAAGCGTCTCGCGAGCATATTTATTGGAAAAATGTTACTGATTGGTATTGTACGATAAAATCCGACCTAGGAAGCGGGCGCATGGTGCTAAAGCAAAACAGATACTCTAAACGTTAGACGTGTAGAGTTTCAGTAGTCCGTTGGACTGCCGTTGGCGTCTGCCAATAGTCAACAACCGTCATGCATCGTTACAGTTGATGACATGGAAGGGAATTATTCGGGAAAATTGAGCCACATGTATGAGTGCGAATTGGGCGTCTGCGACACTATCTGAAGGAGATGGCGTGACTATTCGATCACCTATTCATTGGAGTAAAATTCTACCGTCCTCATCTAGCAGAAAAATTACCCAAATGTCAAACTAAGGGCAGTTAAGGAAGATTCACAAATGATAGGCTCCAACCACCGCAATCTTTGAATCCAGCTCCTAGCCCGACAAGCCACATCAGACGCAAAGATTGTTTGGGCAGAAATTTGATCAGCACTCGCGCAGGCCATCATCACCATTGTTGGTAACAACGTTGTGATGATTTCCAAGAGTATTTGCTCTTTACCGGCGTTCAACCATGTCAATTTATTTGGATTAGTCTACATAACAAAAAGAAGGATAAAGGGCGGCGTGAAACGGGCTTAGTGATAGCCGGGCTGTCAAGCGTTTGGCACCGTCTACTCGCTGATTCACATAGAGTAATTTAAACAGAAGCAATATTTCGGTTCGCGTGACTCAGTCGCTGTCCAACACTTCAAGGCGTAGTTCGCCTAGGCGGTTGAAGAAGCGGCTATACTACGTAACTAATAACTGTGTTTTTTTATCTGTTTATTATAATAAATTCACCATTAACATCCATCAGTCTTCTCAACTACATGTACCATAGCTTAAAAGTCACCCATTTACCTCGTCTTTCACCATCTGAACGATCCTGCTGTCCTCATTGGCGTACCGATCCTCATATAAGCAAGCTTCACAGGGTCTCCTTATCTGCTAGGTCATTCACCTGACAAACGGATACAACGTTTGTAGCAATCTTACGATGACAAAATGGAAATGTCCACTCCCGCCAGTAGTGGTCTCTCTGTGGTCATACTTCTTTCAGTCCAATAAATGTTATGCGATTCCAAAGATGACCCGAAAGACAAGTAAAGTCACCACCACCCAACGGCGTACTGACCATGTCTCCTCGTTGGGTGACGGAACACTTACAAGCAACTTCCCAAGTTAAACAAACATATCAACAACAACATCGTCAACAATCGGTCAATTTACCTTTATATTGAGAACGCTAACCTGATGAAAAAACTGTAATACAAACGCAGTGGAAATTGATAATTTACGGTCAAATAGATAAGGCATACTTGATGAGCACAAAATGATCGGATAATCTATTGTAAAAGGTCTCAGAAAGAAGCTCACCTTTCAAATAGGCCTTGAAACGCTCCTGAGGAACAGTAATTTCGTACCGGGCAGTCGTGGATGTGATCTGTTTGTGACCGGCCTTGTGTGAGAGTCGCGGAGTAAATACGGCACAGGGATTGGTGGCTGGCTCACCCCACCACCGAACGTATACGGATAACCCGTCTGGCAAATTTCTGGAATTTGACCTTCGGTCGGTGGAAACATGACGCGATACGCAACGAAAAGAGCTTATTTTAAGAATCAGGTACGCCGTGACTGGGGCTTGAATACCCGGAGGGAGGGAGGTGTGAACTTGAACCGGGCAGGATGACCCCGATGGGGAACGGGGAATAGGATTAGGAGCTAAAATTGGAGACCCAGTATTCCTTTACCGTACATACAAACTCGATGATAAAAATTCGCTTGCAGTCTAGAAGTGATGATTAAAATCAATATTAACGCAATAATTATGATGACATACGCCAACTTACTCGTCTTAAGGTTGTCTTAGTCTGTCAATAATGAAAAAAGAACACTTATAGTTCACATAAGCGCATGCTACCCATTCGCCACATTTTTGGAATAACTTTGGTTTTCTGTGAGGTGTTCACCATAGAAGTGAGCTCTCAGTGACCAACTCAAGATCATTTGAGATGTAAGGAGCGGGTTCTTCATCTCACTATTCGTTGCTCTTAAATCGCTCCTACCTAGGTTTGGACACCCTGGAAGCCACTCAGAGCTAGTAGAAACCTAGTGTTTCTACACGGATGATGCCATGTTCTTATGGTGCTCATAGGGGTTGCTTCATATGTTTAACTAAAACGCAAGTTTAGTCATTATGTCCAAAACGTTTGACGATCAACACGTTAGGTAAACTAGCCCGCTTTTGGAAATGGAACATAGTTATATGCTTTTTGGTTGTTTGGTGATGGCGTTTGCCCGGAAACAGGAAGTTCCTTGATTAGACAAGGGAGTGGAATGGATTTGTAGTACGTTTCTCAATTACAAGATCACCTGAAATTTTTTCAAAGCTCGCATTTTTAAAAGAATTAAGTCCAACATGCCAGTATAAACGCCTGTAAGCCCTTGGGTAAGTTTTAACCGAACTAGTAATTCATCCAGCCAGAAACGCTGGTAGCTCGTGAATAGTGGTCCTATGGTCGACACTATCAACACTCGACCACATTTATAGCCGGCCTGATGAGTTTGATGAAGACAGTCAATGCAGCCAAACTTTCATGTTCCCATTCCATTCCTATAATTTTTAGTAGGATAAACCAACGATTTGCCGTTTCACTATGAAAGGAATCGAATGTGCTTTTCTCACACGAATTTTCTCACCCGAATTGATGTTAGATACGCCAGCAGTCAATCTTGACAAGTTCAGCAGCCTTCTTGTAAACATTGTTTAGCATGGTTCTGGTGAATGCCTGTCCCTCTGGTCATTACTTACGGTTTGAACCCAGTGGCAATTAGTAGTACTTGGTGGTATGCTCTTCTTTCCATCTTTGGTGGCCCTCGTATACACTTTGATCATTTCCTTATGGATAATCATTGCATACACAAGTAACACGGCACAAAACATTCAAGATGCTAACGTTTAAAAGGTTCCCATCCCCATTAGAGAGGATGAACGCAACTCCCATACTCACAGTGGGGTACGGTTACTTAAACGAACCGGATGAATACACTAAAGTAAACAGATGGAGGCAGATGGACGAGAAACGTCCTATTGTTTTGTAAAAAAAACGAAAACGGCTGGATGTTGCTTTCCAAAAGAAGCAGTCTAAAACTAACGAGCAGGAACCTACAAAAAATTCCATAATTTTCCCCCTGGCACAAGGCACAGAAGTGGGAAAAATTAAAGATGTTAATATTCAGCGACGACAAGTTCAGCCTCGGTAGATCAGACCTAGAAATGTATTGTTGGCATGACTTTGAAAAACGTTATTTTTGCTGGCACCTGAAGAGGATTGTTCCCGTTCTTTTGTGGACATCTTTATATTGCAAGAAAAATGGCAAATCTCCCTAAAGGAATGCTACATTTAGAGCAAGCTATGAGCTTTTGTGGACGAGCTTATTGCAAACGACTGAGCTCTATAAAAATGCTTTTTTGTAGAACGAATTGTGCAGTCCTGAGAAAGTAACTTGCTTAGCGTTTTGTCTTGATTAAAGCCCCAGTTTAAAAAATAGTGAATAATACATAACAAGTCCATGGCGTTTAACCTTAAATGGACCACTTCGATTTAAATTATTCAGAAAGCCCATCATCATCCGCGTCATCCATCAGGAACTATAGAATGTGAGTGAACTCTCCGATGGTCAAGCAATGGATGCTTCTGTACATGTTTTGGACGCGGAAGCCAGGTCTGTGTGCCTTTAGGCACCTTAGAATGCACTGCAGCAGTATACCCTCTGACCTGCATAAGTAAAGTCAACCTGGTGTGCCAGTAGAAAAACACCCAGACCTCAAATAGCGATTCAGGGCAGTAATTTGCGCAGTTTACACGTCGAATTTCTAGTATGCAGGCACATAAATTTGGCTCCCGTTCAGTCTTCTGTTAGCACTGTGTACTTTGCAAGTGTGAATTTCGAGGACTAATTTTTAAAAACCAACTGATCTAAAAAGACTATTGTAATGCTTTCCGGAACCGGTTTTGAGCTAGCCTAAAGTTCCCAAAGATACCAACACAGCCAAGCATCAAGAGGTCATCAAAAGCTAAGTTGTAAGATTTACCCTCAGTTTGGAAGAGAAAGTAGCCTTCCGGTCTTGTGAGAGGTTTATAATCATCTAATTGTTTCCGCAACCAACTGCGGTAACCAATGGTGTTCCCAGCATCAAAACAGTCGGATCTGTGATTTGACTAACCATCCATACTATCCAAAATCAGCATTACTTGATTAGACACGTTTCCCCATTTCTCAGTCCAAAAGGACTACAATCATATTTCACGTAAGATTCCCGCCTAAGGGTGACAACTGTTGACCAGAAAGATCATCGCTGTAGTCTACCTTCTATTCCTTGACAGTCCTTGTCTGAGCTTGAACAAGCTAAAGGTAGTTCAGTTCTTAGCACCGACCTGGTCCTTGTACAGTCTAGTGCATTCAAATTACAATGATGATACTCACCCCGACTCAGGAAAGCTGGATTCGATATTTACCGTCGAATTTTGTAGGACAGATGAGTTGACACTCACTTCCATTTAAGTTGAAGTTAAAGTGCTGTGTTTTCAAGAAAACTCCTCTTGCAACTACGGATCCCCTCGTATATCCTGCAACCGTAACAAAGTCGGACGTAGCGCAACACTTAAGATCTCTGTGGCGTGCAAGTAAGGCAAAACAGTCTACATTATCTCCAAACAAATCACCTCTGGAAAGATAAACCTTCCACGGCGTCTTCATACTCGAGGACAATATCAAGGTCGACACGAATTCCTAAACACCAGCCCCAAGGCTAATCTACGACTTTGATGCCAACACATTAGACAGTCCGGAGTCCTCGGAATTCAGTTACGTTATGCAATACCGATTCTCATCTCTGGAAATTTTCCGTTGCGATAAAGAGTCCCCGTTCACAAACAAGATTGTTAGTATGATATTTTTGTCCCCTCACGAGCATCACTCGCACTCATTCCCAGCTGCTTGGAAAAGTAGGGCGAAGCTGTTCTACATGAGGTGTGGATACGCAATATGGGTATTCGAAGGAGGCTACAGTTTACGTTCAATCAGGCGTACTGACATTCCTGATTAATCCATCCAAAGTTATACACTTTTTTGGTTGCTGAGACTTATCTTTGAGAGCCGTGTTAATAATCCTGTGCTCATTAAATGCGAGGATGGAGAGAAATACGCAATAAAACACTGGATCTCAATCAACAAGAGCAGTTGCTAGTACGTCTTATTGTTTTCATTATGTGAATACTTGACTTCAATTTACCGATAAGAGAGCATATGCCATTACACAGAAGAGCATTCTAAATCCTTGAAGCAGACGTTGGTGAAAACGTCTGGCTTAAAGAAGATAGACAGAATATTTTAGCGTTTTTCGAGCCATATTTTAATACAGTTCAGAGTTCGACCTGTTCAGCGGTGTTTAAAACAAAAACAAACGCATTCAAGATAGTGCAAAGGATTCACAGGTTGTAGGATTGGCGGTTATTGTATGCCACGAGATTTACCTAGACTGGATTTCCCATAGAAGACATACTTGAAGAAATCTTCGCAGAGCCTTCTTTGGGGCGAGATGGCCCAAGTGGTTAGAGCGCGAATTTACTGACCGGAAGGTCCGACCTCCGCCACTCGACTTCCCCTGTCTAGGCTTGGGCAACCTGGCAGTATCCCAGCCCTCGTGCTTCCTTCGGGTGGCATGGCAGCTAGGCATCGGAAGGGTGCTACAGCTGAACGCTCTTTGGTCTGTCTAGCAGTGAAAAATTCACTGTGAGACAGCTATCTCAGTGATCCATCAAAGACCTCCGTAAATTTCGCTCTTTATGTGCAGCTTAGGTATGTCTCATCTTAGCCAACATGAGCCAATAGTAGACCAACTTGGGTCGATTGTTGTACATTACTCTTAACACGATATAGATAGATGAGAAATGCCCTGGTAACGAGCAGAACAGTCCAGAGGGTAACGACCCAGTACAAGCAGGCTAAGATTCCGATGGATACCTATCGAGAAGGAAGAAGAATAACATTAGAGAATCATGCGGTAGTAAGAGTCCATCGTAATTCTGTAGTCTATCTTGACCAAATGCCCACCAACCGCATCCCGCCCACAACGGTTAGCTCCGGAAAAGCTTGCCATAGCCAAAATCGAATTCCAGCATTGGCTTCAACTGGATATCATACGACCATCATGCAGCCCTTGGTCATCTCCACTACATATGGTCCCCTAAACGTCCAAGGAAAATTGGAGACCATGTGGCGATTATTGCGCACTAAATCGTGTGACTATCCCGGACAAACATCCAATTCGGCATCTACATGATTTCGCCCTTACTCTTCACGGCAAATCTGTCTTCAGTAAATTGGACCTTGTCAGAGCGTACCACCAGATACCTGCCACTCCGGACGATATTCCCAAAACTGCGATCACCACCCCATTCGGTCTGTATGATTTCGTTCGCATGCCATTTGGGCTCAGAAATGCAACTTAAAGATTTCAACGATTCATGGATCAAGTTTTACAAGGACATGACTTCGTCTACGCTTATATTGATGATGCACTTATCACCAGTCTGTCCGAAGACGAGCATGTGCTTCACTTAAAGCAAGTTTTCGAAAGATTTCAGCAGTGTGGTATAGTCATAAATAGCAGTAGATGCTAATTTGGTGTTTCGTCACTAGAAATTTTAGGATATATT